ACTTTGCACAATTATATTTGAAAATAAGGATTACTTTTTTGCAAAATTAGTTTTTATAATATAAAAAAAAAGTTTAGATTGCTTATAATTTAAAAATAGACAAGTTTAGAAAAATTTAATAATCAAAAAAATTATTTGCAAATTCTTGTCAAACTCTTTAAATATTAATTTTAAATATATAATAGTTCTTAAAACAATATTATAGTTTATACAAAAGATTACAACTTTCATTATTATATCTTTAGTAATTTACTAATAAAAATCAAGACTTTACTTAGAAGCAAAGATTTTTTTTTTTTGGTATTAAGGTGACCTCTTTGGCCATGGGGAACTCTTTATTAGTAATCATTTACTATTATAGTTACAATGAAGATACAACTAGCCACATGTGCATTTTTTGAGTACCTATTTAAATAGTTTGCCTGCAGATTCTATACTAGATGCCATACCTATAACCCAACTAGAGAGTTACTCATTTAAACTTTCTGATTTTAACCATTTTTAAGCATATCATACTAATCTGGGAACTACCATCTGGCCTGTTTCTTTAGATTGCGCATCCTGCCTTAGTACTTCCATAACTTATCCTGGGTTTGCACTGACTAATTACCGGCTTGCATTCTTCCATTGAGCAAATGCATAGCTATCCATGAGATAAACCTACCAGAGCTTTCTCTATCCTATTTGGGCCAACCTGGTTTTGCACAGTTACTGAGGCTCCCACTTGCAGTTGGGTTATTACCTATTTAACTGCTTTTGTCCTTATAAGGTTCACATCCCAATCTCAGTACCCACATTCAGATCTTTTCTTTTTTTATTATTTCCTTATTAGTCTATCCCTTACTTCCAATTAGTGACCCAGAAGATTTGACCTTGGCTTGGCATTAGGTGCCGATGTCCTTGTCTCATCTTGGTATATGATTTCCTAGCACATGTTCTTTTCCTCCAATTTAGTAGGCTAGTCCTTCAAACACGTTCGGTATTTTTCTGTCTGACTAGTTTCCCGCCCGACTTCTATAACCCTGGTCTTGGTGAGTAGGGCCCCACAACTGGTTTTCCACACCGGCTGGCCAGGGTTGGTGTACTTTGTAATAGCCTCGCAGATTTTTAACTTTTCTAAATTGGTGGTTGGGTTGGTAAATCTCCCTACTAAAGGATCTTGTTGTCGTTCGGTTCTCTAATCTTGGTCCTAATTTCCAAATTCAGGTCTTTTCTGTAGCACTGTCAAAGATTGTAGTTACTCCTTACTCGGGTCTTCCTAAATGAGTTTCGATTATTCTAGTTTCTTGATATTTATGCACCAAGGCTTCTACTCCAGAAGCAAAGATTTTTTTATAGGCAAAAAACATATAAAATTTAAGAAAGTTTAAAGAAAAATTATATAGTAAAAATTTTAATACAAGAACTTTAAACTTTTATTATACTAAAGTTTTTTAATAATTTTAAAAAATTTTCTTAATAAAGTTAATAAAACAAATCTAAAATTTAATATTTTACTTAGAAAATATATAGCTAAAATCAATATATAAGATTTTATTAAAAAAATTAAACTTTTTAATAAAACACAGGCAAATTTGTCTGTATTACAATTTAAGAGATAGAAAATCATTAATTACATATTTAATTGCTTTGTTATTATTTATAAAGCTACCCTATTAGGTATTCTCTAGCTCTTCGATGCTATGTATTAATAAGTCTACTACTTTGTAATATTCCAGGTTCCTAATTCCATAGTGTAAAACCCTGTTTTGCAATGGTTTATAGTTTCTTATTACTATAGTCTTAATTTTTTAAATTTTTCTGTATTTGGTATTGTATCTCTTTTTTTTAATTCTGTACTCAAACTTTGTATACTCTTTATTTATCACCTACTTACCAACAAACTTGTTAGACTCTGTGTTTTTAGTTTTGGCTCTTCTGAACTTTACTTCTATATACTTTTTGTATTTACTAATACTTCTTTATACAGATATGCTGCATGAAATTACTAGAAATTTGCCCAGAAGGCAAGTGCTTTTTAAAGAAAACTCAGGTTTTTTTTCCTCTATTAGGTTTGTCATACAAGTCTTTTATCCTTATTTGAAGCACTTCTTAACAAAAAACACCATAGTCCTGATTTGAAGATTTCTCATATTAACAACTTTCTTTTGTCAAATTTTTTTTCTTTTTTTAAATATTGTATAATTTCGTGGCTATATCTTGCAACTTATTGCTAAATATAATTCTAGCAGAGATAAATTCCTCTGTGAAATTCAAACTTATAATCTTGTACTTAAAATCTGGAGTACTAACCACTGTACTATTAATTCACAAATCTATTTTTTATTTATTTATTTATTTATATATATTTGATTTATTTTTTATATATTTTTTTATTATTATTATTTTTTTGGAGGGTATTAAAATAATCTCTATAGTGTTACTATCGTTGGGAGAGCTTTTAACAATTGTTAGCCTGATTTAGCTTGATAGTAAGCTAAAATATATAATAGAGGTGGTAGTTATAATATACTTTAAGGGTATATGATTGCTTTGCTATCTATTTGTAACATGTGAGGGTTAATTAAATTAAATTGGAACTGGGTTGATCACTTAAATTGATCAGGTTACGATATTGTAAACAATAAAATCAGATTGTCATGATTATGATGAATTTAGAATAATGGTATCTAAATAACAATCGATAAGGTAATAATAATAATACAATGCAGGATGATAATTAAGAGTAATAAAAAAAATAATGCAATAAGACTTTATTCATTTAACAAGGTATACTCTAATCGGGTGAGAATTCGATTCTTATTATATTCTAATAAATCAAGACATCGAAGCCTCCTTTATTTAAGGTGCGAGATATTGCACTTTTATACTTTCAATTTACATAGTTTATTTACATGTTTAGGACTATTTCTAGTCTCTAAGAGCTAGTTCTAGTCACTTTACCAAGCTCTTTGCTCAAGCCTTAACCCTTCCTAAAGGCTTCGTCAACCCACAAGCCCCTCCTTACTAGTTCTGTACCGTCCTGGTCCATCTCTAGTCCCCTTGCTCTAGGCCTTCACTTATTCTTCTGTTTACTATATAAAAATAAAAAGAAATAAAAAGAAATAAAAAAAAAGAAAGAAAGAAAGAAATAAATAAATAAATAAATATAATGCAATACCCAAAGGTTGGGTTATTTCTAGTTCTCCAAGCTCATATTAAAATAAAACCTGAGCCACAATTCAGAAGTTATGGGAAATATTTCCTGTGACATACTCCCCTCCTTAGCATGAGCTCCTGCGAATATCTAATTTTCTAATACTAGGTGTTCGAATTCTTGTTCTCAGCTTCTTTAAACCTCCTCTAATAGAGACACATTCTCCTCTTTATTCATAGCGGCTAAAGAATTTGCTGATAAATGGCAAGTGACTAATAGATTATAAACTCCATGAGTATAATACAATCTATAGACCTGTCGAGCGATTCGGAATACATTCTTATACTTACTACGCTTAAATCACTATTTCATTTTCTGTCTAGCATAGCTATTCCAATTGAATATAGCCATTCTTTCACCTAAAAAATAGTAATATTTGAGGGTCTTCACTCGGTCAAGGTGAAGCCGGATATAGAGGTAATCTATCTGTTGAGTCCAACTATCCCTTTCTGGCTTCTCAAGTTCTAATATAGGGTCTCCTATTCTTTGTAGGTCCTCGTAAAAAAGAAGTATTCTACTTTCGCTACTAGCAGCTCCATTAATATCAGAAGCCATAGTAATCTTAACTGGGTTGCCTTGTCCATCTAGAAATTCTATTATATCGTCAGTAATATGGATAACAGCTGCAGGAGATTCTTGAAGGTGTCTTTGTACTCTCAAAAGGTTTCTTAGTAAAGAGTCAGTTAATAAGAAGGAATCCATGGTTGTGGAAGAGATGAAAGATCAATTCTAGCTATATTTATAAGCTTGTGGTGCTTCTTAATCAAAAGGCAGAATATATTTCTTTAACCTGTTTCTATGTACTGCCTTTTGAAATACTTTTTCAATCCCCTTGGGCTTTTTATTATTTATTCCATTTATGGTTCGTAATTTATAAGTACCATTGCCACAAACATCATGAATATAATAGGAGCCGATAAATTTTTAACTTAGCTTAGCACTGTACAAAGTTAATAAAGAAGATTCTTCTAATAGTACTTTATCGTCTATAGAATAGCTCTTGGTAATATGGCTTTGGTCATGATGAGCTTTTTGTTTATTTTGAGCTTTTGTAATATTACTCTTAGCCTGATAGTGGGCTTTTTCTAAATTCCCTAACAAGGCTTCAATTTGCTTCAATATTTGACCTTGTATTTCTTTATAAGTGGTAGGCTCATTAGGGTAGATGGGGATAACAGTTTCCACAGATAATAGAGCATCACATTTATATACAAGGAAGAAGGGCTCATAACGTGTAGTGGAGTGTCTATTTGTCTGATATGCAAAAAGAGTAGCAGATACGTACTCATCCCATTCACCTTCAAATTGCCCAACGCATTTAGCCAAAACTTCACACAAGATCCGATTAAAACGCTCTACCAAACTATTAGTCTGGGAGTAGTAGATACTAGAAGTCTGGTGTCAAACATTCATTCTTTCAGCACAATGCCACTACAATTGCATTACAAAAATAGGTGCCTTGGTCTGAAAGTAACTCTCGAGAACTTCCGTGGTGGCAAATTATGTCTTCAAAGACAAACGCAGTGACGGTTTTGGCATCTGCTTATTTTACAGCACGAGCTTCTGGCCACTGCATAAGGTATTCTGTTGCTACTATAATATAGCGATTCCCTTGGCTAGTAATCGGTAATGGCCCTACTATGTCTATTCCTATCCAATCAAAAGGTTTACCAATTCGAATAGGATAAAGAGGTTTTTGAGTTTTTGACTTTTCTCTTCTCTGGCAAGCATCACAAGAAGCAACATAGACCTTAATATTATTTCCCATTTGAGGTCAAAAGTATCATGTGATAATCCGCTGATACGTTGCTTCTTTGTTAAAATGGCCAGCTAAAGGATCTGAATGTATTACATATAAAATGGGCTAAACCTCCTGGGGTTTTAACACCCTTAAAGATCTCAAAAAATCGTGGGGATTTTTCTTATACAATAATCCTTCCTGTACAAAATAATGACAGATTCGATATTAAAGGGATCTAATTTGCTTCACATCGTAGTATAAAGGTACTATAGACTAGCTAAGGTACCTTAAAATTATATAATAAGTGTTTAATTCTATGTGTTTTTGTTAGTCAAAATGGGGTAATCCGAAGTTGGCGTTGTTAAATTTTAAGGTGAATAAAATAAAAATAGAAGTGTTCTTTTAAATTCGAGAAAGACTATCGGCATTAAGATGGGTTTTTTCAGTTTTGTGGATAGTAGTGAACGAATACTCCTGCAAGGTCAGGATCTACCTAGCCAGTTGATGTTAGGGTAGCCGATGAGAAAATAATAATTTCAGCATGAAATGGTCAGTATAAAGAGTAAAGTGGGACCCGTGAAGATAGGGTCGAAAGTAAGAAACTGCCCACAAGACTGCAAGACATTCTTTTTCAGTCACTGAATAGTTCTTTTCTGCTAGGATTAAAGAATGTCTTGCATATGCTATAACTCTCTCCTTATTTCCAAGGTCTAGCTGAGAGAGAATAGCTCCAAGAGCTATGTCAGAAGCGTCTGTAAAGTGGATAAACGGCCATGTGAAATCTGGGTAGGCCAAAATAGGGGTGGCTATAAGCTTTTCTTTAAGCTTCTCAAATGCCTCTTGTTGTCTAGGCGTCCATTGGTACTTAGTATTCTTTTTTAATAATGTATTTTATGGCCCGGCTATATTAGTGAACTTTGGTATAAACTATCAATAATAAGATACCAAGCCCAAGAATCTACGTAGCTGCTGCACATTTCTTAAAGGAGGAAATTCTTAAACAGCTTGAACTTTCTCACTATCTGTTGATATTCTTTAGGCGTTCACAATATACCCAATAAATTTTAGTTCCTTTTTGGCAAAAAAACATTTTTGGAGTTTTATCTTTAGCCTAGCCTTCTGAAGTCTACTAAAGACCTCGCTCAAATGAGTAAGATGCTCCTCAAATGATTTAGAAAAAATGTTTAAGTCATCAAGATATATGATGACAAACTTCTCTAAAATATTACTAAAAATTTAGTTCATCAACCTCTGGAAAGTCGCTGGGGTATTCATTAAACCAAAGGGCATCACATTGAATTCAAAAATTCCTTGGGGGGAAATAAAAGCAGTCTTTGGTTTGTCCTCCTCAAGCATCTCTACTTGCCAATAACTGCTAGCTAAGTTTAGAGAAGTAAACCAGACTGAACTGTTCAAGGTATCTAACAGTTTATTTATCCTAGGTAAAGAGTAGTTATCCTGGATAGTAACAGCATTCAGTCTCTAGTAATTAATACAGAAACGCATCTTCTTTGCTTTTTGTTTTACAAGTACTACTGAAGATGTCCATGGACTAGTGGAGGGTCTGATAATATTCTTCTTCAACATGGCTTTAATTTCTTCTTTAAGAAATGCTTTTTCTGCTGAAGAATAACGATAAGAACATTGGCGGATAGGCCAAATGTCCTTAGTCGGGATTTTATGCCGTATAACATTAGTTCTTCCCAATTTATCAAGACTTCGGGCGCAAAGATTCTTATAATTATCTAGCAAAAGTTCTAATTGTTTTTGCTGATGTTTTTCCAATTTCCCAATTTGATAATTCATTTCTATTGGTGCTTTATCCTTGTAAAAATAGTCAAAAAGGTCTGAAATAGACCCTTTTTCTTCCCGAGTTACATTGTAATTAATATATCCCTCTTCTCTAGCTAAATCCCTTATATCCTCTGTCTCACTATCCCCTTTACTATCAGTATATTTTACCTATTCTTCAAATCCTTTACTTCATTTTATATCCTTCCTTTTCCTTTCTAATATTTCTTCAATCTCAGCCTCTACTTCTGAATAAGTGAAGATTTGTTCCTCTAATTCCTCCTCTTTATACTCTTTCTCTGACTCTTCATTAACTTCCTCTTCTTTCTCTTTATTCTTCTCCTTGATATTTCTTATAATTACCAACCGCTCTTTTCCTATTGGTGACCTAGTTACCTTCCTAAATTCAACAAGAATAGTGATTTCCTTATTGTTCCAGAGAATAGTCATCTCAGCCGAATTTCAATTAATAGCTGCATTAACTTTAGCAAGCTAATAATTCCCAACGATGGCGCAATAAGAATTAGTGTCTGTTATTATAACATCGATGGAGATCTCAACACCTCCAATATTAAAGAGAAAATTTGAAATTTTCTCAATCGCCTTTTTACTTTCCCCATGTATATTTATCATATTTACTACAGAGGGCCTCTTAATTTGTATTCTTAATTCATTTAATAAATGGGAAGTAATAACACTTCCGGACAAACCACTGTCTACTATTAAAGGGATACTTTTGCTATAAATCTTTGCATCACAATACAAAGCAGTGGATTTTGGCATCAGCTGCATATTGACATGGTCTTGAGCTATCTTTCTAACTATAGTCCTTTTCTTTTGTAGAGAGTGAGCCAACTCTTGTCTCATATTTGGCGCTGCTCTCAACAATTGTTCATATGTAATGTTAGCTATTTTATCTCTTATATCTGCTACAATCGAATAAGGGCTAACTAAAGAAGAAATTTGAGGCAATTCCTCTTCTATATTTTTTCTCTTTATTGTAGAAGCTCTTTTTGCTTTCATCTCTTTACTCCCTTTGGGTTCTACTATCAATGGCTTACAATTCTCTCTATTCTGTTCATTTGGGTTTTTATCTAAATCCATTTCTGAATTCTCAACTCCTTCGGTTTTTACCAATCCTGAAGAAGTATCTTCAACTTGTCCATTCTTTTTCTTCTGAAGAATGGGGGTATTGACAATAGGCTTTTGATGCTTATATAGTTCTGCTAGTAGGAATAATACTTCATCATCTTCCAGTATACCTAAGAATGATAATTGACTCCAGGAATCATCCAAGCTAGAATTATTATTTAATAAGGCTAATAAAGCCTGGAGAGTATCTTATACATTTGTGCCATTGGCTACTAGAGCTGTTCAAAGAGGGTTGTTTTGAGCCGGAGATCTGTCATTAACAGGAGTCAGTAAATTAGAACATTGACAAGCTATATAACCAGGGCATCTACAATTATAACAAATCAACCCTTGTGGTTGATTTGTTGTGGCTTCTAGTTGTCGAGGTCAGAAAGGCCTTCTTGGCTCTTGCCATATGGTTATCATTCTATTGATGGCTTCAGTCAGCCTATTCAAAGCATCTTCAGTCCCACCCGTACTAGTATTTGTTGTATTTATTGTTCCTAATATTCCAGAGAAACCGTAAGAAGGAAAAGCTACAGGCTGACCTAAAAGAGCAGTATAAATGGGGTTGGATTTATAAGCATTTTCGAATGCTTTTGCTCACGTATATGCTTCTTCCATGGTGTTAGAAGTTAACAGAGATACAGCCATAAACAACTCTGAACGAAGCCCATTAATAAACATCTGGGCTTTTGCTAAATCAAGGTATTGATGCCCTCCTGATTCTACTCACTGAATCATTTCCTCTATAGTTATATAGTACTCATCAACACTTTCTCCTGGTAATTGCTTTTATTGAGTTAATTGCGCGAACCACTTCCCTTTTAACTCCGGGATTCTAAATTTGGCAACAAAGTGAGTAATGAAGCTTTGTTGAGGTACTATAGGGTCACGCTATTGGTCAATTATGGGTTGTTAATTTCTTCTTGTAACTCACCAAGTCGCAGCAGGACCCTTAAGCTTCGGTATGATTACAGAAATCTTTCAAAGAGGAGATATAAGATTGGTTTCAAAAGCCTTTTCAATATCTTTAAGC